TCCTCTCCGGCCATCTGATCTTGAGTATTGAGCGAAGGCATTTGTTAATGAAGGTCTGTAGCTTGTTTGAGCTGCTCTTTGTGACACGCCAAGTCTCTGATCCATATAGTAGTATTGACTTCACATTGGAGTTGAAAATACGGATCTTATTTTTGACGCTGAATGCTGTTGACCTCCACATAGACTTGAGAGAAATGAAAACTTGTCTTGCTTTTCCGATTCTGGCTTTGATATCCTCCTCAGTTCCTCCTGTAGTTGAGACGATGCTTCCCAGGTAGGAGATTTCACATAGTGTTGTGTAACGCTTTTATCGTATTCGCCTAATAGTCCTATAATTGCACACCTCTTCCAAGTCCTATACATCTTATGAATTGTTCTGTACATGACATTAATTGTTTTGCTACTTCACATTTAACTATGATCACAATCACAAACATTTGAATTGCATTTCATGCTGCAAGTGTTTTACGTATTCACACCTCTGATTCGATTCTCTCACTGGATATAATTTCTTTAAAACCAATCAGCCAAACCCCTACAAACCAATACTTGAATAACAATGAAATGCTCACTGGCGACTGGCCCTATTCAGGTAGGTATTTACCTGGGGTTCCAGTGGGAAGTCGTGACCAGTAGGGTGCAGCAGGCCGGGTGTGAAGACAAATACTCGCCGAAGACATTGGCTAGCGGTTGCGCTATATCGTGAACTGGCAGAAGTTAGAATTCATGGGCCATTGGATCGGGTCCCAGTGGCTTAATGGTATACGAGCTCGCCTTGTCACCAGTGGGTGCGCATTGATGAAGAGCCCCAGACTAGGACGAAACAGCTGTCCAGTACTCTCAGGTTTTCCAACAGTTCTCTAACCAATGTCAGCTCATGATGAAATCCTGTAACTAATCTGAAGAGTGAACACAACAACAACTTGACAATAGTCATTACTAATATATGTGATGACTGCTTACATATTTTCTATTGGTAAAAATGTCCATGGACAAATGACCTTCAAATAAAATGACTTCAATTTATGTAAAATTTCTGACTATATATTTTGATGATTAATAAAAATCGGAATAAATCTGCTGAAGAAGCTGTGGCTTACACAGCGGAACGTTCAGAAAAATCTTGTTTTGATTTTCTTAACACACTGGGATTAATTAAAATAATTTATAATGAATCAATCTGAATCGGCGCTCAAATTATTTTGATAGCATTATTAGAAGACGGAGATTATCTGAAAAATGTGATGTATTAGCGCTATACATTTCGAACAATCTGATCACACATTTACTTGTCAAGTCAATATATATGGAAAAGTTAAATTAAACAAGGTTACAAAAAAAGAATTAAGAATAATTAACACAAACGTTTGGTAATCCAATCAAATAAGGATTACCAAGGTAGGTTAAGAGTAATAACAAACTGTTTTTGAATACACAAGGGGGAGGGGGCTTAAGTTTATGAATGGCTATAGCCTCAGCGTATTTCAGTAAACGTCCTTGACCGTTTTTATAGATGACCTTAAAGGCTGAGTTAACATCAACCTTATGGTTCATCTCGATTAAATGTTTGGCTATAGACGAAGTTGGTAGTCTAGCACCTGCATCTATGGGCTTGTCACAATTCATCTGTTTTCCTAACCACTTTGGGACTTGACTTGACAAGTAAATGTGTGATCAGATTGTTCGAAATGTATAGCGCTAATACATCACATTTTTCAGATAATCTCCGTCTTCTAATAATGCTATCAAAAGCTCAAATTATTCCAGGAAGTTCGTAACACCTACGACCTGGAAACCTATAGTAATAATAATAATAACAATAATAACGGTTCTACCAGTAATAAGAATGAAAAAGTGAGGCAATCTGTGATAACACGAATAACAATAAACTGCATGATTAAACGAACAAATGTTCAGGTAGATATAGTAGTCGATAAAGACTAAGGAAAACAATGGAACCGATTAAGTAATGTTAGATTGATTGTAAGGGAAGTAAATGAAACTCTTCTATAATAAAGATGTGATAAGATTAAGGGATGATAAGAGAAGGATTGAAAATATAAGTAAGGGGTGGTGATGAAGTTATCAGTTGGTTAGGTTTTAGTAGGTAAATAAGGGAGAGATAATGGCTGTATGAACTTCTTTTGAATGCATAGTTTAGATTTAATAGTTCGAATGCCTATCGCCTCAGCTGTGTGCAGTAGGTACATATTTACGTACGATTGTACAGTTTAATAATAAATTCGTTGGAAGAAGAATCTCTTCTCTGAATCACCACTTTTTTTGATTTTCTGTATGTCCTAATGCAAATTTTCCACGAAATATATTGAAATAACAATAAGGAATAGCGTAACCACTAGACAATGTCATTGACTCGAACTCCTGTGGATGTTTACTAGTAAACAGTGAACTCAAGCTAGGGTGTCGAAACACCCAGTTGTCCAGTGCTGACTTCCTGGTGGTTTTCCAATACTTCTGTAAGCGATGTCAACTCATAGTGAAATCCTCTAACCAATTAAATCGAATCAAATCCCCACAAACCAACAATTAAATATTATGCAATTCTTCCAATAAGCAAACTTGAACAAAGCAAGAACAACAATTGTACCAGGATAATATGAGCTCATCTTTTATTATTCGAGGATTCTTCTCAACTGGTTACAACCTGAACTATAAAAAAATATAAATAACATTAAAGATTTGAACAAACTTTGCCCCGATCATAAGGAGTAATTGGTAGGAAGTAAAATTGACATTAGTCCGGAATGATTTAACTAATTAAGAGTTAGAAACACTGCCTATTTATAGAATAATTAGACATTTAGGTTTGGGTGAAAACAAAACACGTAGATCAGCGAAGATTTTTGTTTTCATTAATGCCTGGATGGGGAATATCCATGAATTAGGCTTGGAAACAAAAACAGAGTTGCGTATGTATATGTGTGTGTATAGAAACAAAGTTTAGCTAGAAAGAGCATAACAAAAAAGTAGATTATGTAACTAAGGAAAATGTTTTATCTAATAGCCAATAGAAAAAAAAGGAAGAGAAAAGAACAAGGTAGGTTGAGTCATGTTTAGATGAGGGAGTAGAGTTTTCTAAACAAGAAAAAGGGTGACTCATAAAAGTTGTATATTTTGTTATCACCAGGGCAGTGCAAGATTCACCACTGTCTCTATCTGCGTACATAAATTTGGTTTAAGTCGTTTGATAGCAATTGCTCCAGCAAAGCAACAAGATCTAGACGGCAAAATCATAGGATTTTTACGCAGAAAAGATATCTGGAGGGCGGTTTATCTTAACTTCGAAAGCTTCTCCCCTACAAGTTACAAAAAGGGATTGGTGACAACATTATTTGATCATCTAAGGAAGCTGTGTTCAAAAGAAAAGATTGAGGAAGAGCTATCCATTGTGATGAAATGCCTAAGCGGCAACGGTTAACCACAAAAGTTCATCAACAAGTATGGGAGACTTCATGTTAAAAAGTGAAAAGCAGCACAGTAGAGAAAAAGCCCATCTTTCTGCAGCTTGCATTCAAAGGTGATGATATTGCTAGTAGAATAAGATGCAGACTGAACGCTGCCCTGAAAAGAACATATCCAGCCGCCAAGCTTGTATGTGTTTATCAAACAACTAGTTGTTTGAGACAATCAAAAGTGGACAAATACCCACCTCATGTTGCTTCCAACTGTGTCTACCAATTTACGTGTATGTGCCAAAGCAAATACATCGGAAGAACAGAGAGAAGGGTTATTGTCCGCATTTCTGAACACATACCAAAGAACCTGAGACCGAAAGGTCCACAAGCATTAAACAATGCGATTGCGCGTCATCTATCAGACACTGGTCATATTGTAGACAACCTGAAGTCGTTCAAAGTAATCAACCAGTAGAAGAAACCTAGCTTGCTACGCTTTGCTGAAGCAATTGCTATCAAACGACTTAAACCAAATTTATGTACGCAGATAGAGACAGTGGTGAATCTTGCACTGCCCTGGTGATAACAAAATATACAACTTTTATGAGTCACCCTTTTTCTTGTTTAGAAAACTCTACTCCCTCATCTAAACATGACTCAACCTACCTTGTTCTTTTCTCTTCCTTTTTTTTCTATTGGCTATTAGATAAAACATTTTCCTTAGTTACATAATCTACTTTTTTGTTATGCTCTTTCTAGCTAAACTTTGTTTCTATACACACACATATACATACGCAACTCTGTTTTTGTTTCCAAGCCTAATTCATGGATATTCCCCATCCAGGCATTAATGAAAACAAAAATCTTCGCTGATCTACGTGTTTTGTTTTCACCCAAACCTAAATGTCTAATTATTCTATAAATAGGCAGTGTTTCTAACTCTTAATTAGTTAAATCATTCCGGACTAATGTCAATTTTACTTCCTACCAATTACTCCTTATGATCGGGGCAAAGTTTGTTCAAATCTTTAATGTAATTCATATTGTTTTTATCGTTCAGGTTGTAACCAGTTGAGAAGAATCCTCGAAATAATAAAAGATGAGCTCATATTATCCTGGTACAATTGTTGTTCTTGCTTTGTTCAACTTGAATATCAATCTGATGCTCTCTAGTGACTGGCCCTATCAAGGTAGGTAGGTGGTTATCTGAATTCTTCTAGTGTGAAGTCGGGACCAATGGGGTGCAGTACAGCGGGGCAGATGTGAGGAGATTTACTCTCTGGCGATATTAGCTAATGGTCGCGCTATGTCATGAATTGGTAGAAGTTGGAACCCTTGGCCTGGCTACTGGATCTTATCCCAGCAGTTGTTTATTCGTCTACCAGTTCGCCACCTTGTAACTGGAAGATCTTGGTTTCAAACCCTCCAGTGGTAGGTACGTACTGATGAAGCGTGTCAAACTGGGGGTGATGAAACAGCTAGCTGTCCAATACTCACTCCCTGGTAGTTTTCCAATGATTCTATAACTGATGTCAATACCGCTGATCAGACTTGATTCAAATCAAATCCCTACGAAAAAAAACTTTCGAAAACGAATTTATTTATAAATCATCTTTTATTATACAAAAGAAAGAAATAATGAGTGATTTATTATTTTTTTTACTGAATACAATACCAAACTACTTAATTTGCTGCTGCAAAGTAGTAAGAAAGAATATAATGCTTCAAAATATATATATTACATACAATCTAGTAGAATATGTGATGTGCTCGGAGAATTTCTAAAAAAAAGGAAAACAACCAATGATGGAGTTGACTGCTAGATCATAACTTCTTCATGATGATGATGATGATGATGTGAGGCATGAATTTCATTGAATTCTGATGTCGTTGATGGTGTATGCGAAACAACAACGATATCTGTTCCATGAATATACGTGGGACTAGAACTACTTATTCTTTCATTGCTGTCTAATCTATACTCTCTTTGTTCTCTAATGCTTTGCAACACTTCCTTACTTTTACCGCCAACATCTTCATCATCATCATCATTGTTGTTGTCGCCGTCGACACCATCGACACCGTCTTCATCTCCTTCTTCATCATCATCGTCTTCTTCACTAGTGTATACACCTAATTCTTTCAATTCTTTCACAGTCAGACATTGTGGTGAATCGGCATAGTAGTCATTTTCACCAATTTCAGGAATGGCCAGTAGAACAGTAGCTGATAATGGAGGAAATTGGTCATAATTTTGATGATGATCATTGCAGTAATAATAATAATGACAACAATATTGATCGTCTGAACATTGATCGCTTAATGCTGACGATGACGATGATCTATTTTGATCCGTGAATGTATGCTGAACCAGTTGATTAGGAAATGAGGTTGACTTGGCTAAAATATAAATAGACAAATAAAAAAAGTGTGAATACAATTAAATATATAAATATATACATTGGGTCATAGGAGTTATTAAAAAGACAGTTGCAGCACTACCCAGCCTGGCTAGTAAAAGGAGACCAAAAACGTGTATGCAGTTCAGTGATAGAGCATCTGGCCAACTCAGAACATTCAGTGCCTTTCGAAAAATCCTTCAAAGTAATATACAAGATTCAATCAAACCTATCAAAGGGAGTCAAATCAAGACATCTGGGCATAGCTGAGGCGCTAGCTATCCAAAGGCTCAAACCCACGCTCTGTATCCAAAAGAATTACGTCCAACCCCTGTCCCTGCCATGGCCATCATAAAGAGGTAAACAAATTTTTTTAGTAATGACAATCTCATCGCCCTTCTTATCTAAATTTCCTGTTTATTCATGTTATTTTAAGTTTTCTTAATCCCTGTCTACACTACCATACTTTCATATCCACTCTTCCTGTTTATTTTGTCATTTTACTATTTCTACATATTTAATCCCTGATTGCAAAATGTCAATCATCTTAGTTATTATAATGCTACCTTGTTCGAGTTTTATCCACCCCCCTGTTTATTATGGCATTCTAATTCCTAATTGTAATTTTTATTAATTTGACCCTTAACCGGAAATTATTCTGGAACTTTCCCATCCATCTGATATAAATACACGAATGTACAGCCTAGATTATGACTTCGTCGAAAAGAAAATTTTCTTCGCTGCAATTGTCTTTTGAAAAATATATATAGCGAAAATGTTCATTCAGACATCTATGGGAAAACAAAATAATTGAGCAAAGAGTATCCTTTTCGATAATTTCCTCCTCTTCTGGCTCTATAATTATATACGCATTTGTTTATATACATAGAATATTCTAGAATAGTAGTCAATAACAATATTAGTGTTTTTTTAAATACTATCGATTTGTTAAGTAAGATCACAATGGAATTACATTTCATTAAAGATGTTTCAATAATAATAATAATAGTAATATAATAGCAAATAGAATACTAACTAAAATTAAGGAAATTTCCACAACCACTTGAGGATCATTCGAACCTAGATGGCCAAGGGTAAGGGCAATGTCTGAACTAACTTCTTTTGGATGCACAAATTAGGCTTGTTAATATGGATCCCAACAGCCTCAGCAATATTTAGTAGTCGAACTCTTGAGGCGAAATTGAGATTTGTTGGTATGCGGTAAATGACCCTGAAAGCCTGGTTAACACCAATCTTGTGTTCTGTATCCACAAGATGAGATAAAATAGCACTGCGAATGGATTTTCTTTGTCCTTTGCTTAACCACGTAGGGTGATGTTCAGAAATTCGACGAGAAACACGCCTAATTGTGCGGTCTATGTAACTGCCTCCATATGAGCGGTTATATTGGTAGATACACATGGAAGAGGCGAAATTAGGCAGTTTGTCTTTTACTCCTGAAAGTAAAATAGGAGTGGTTGTTTTTGAAGACACAGCGTAATTCAGCAGTAGGGAATGCTTTCTTTTACCGCATTTCTAAGGCGTTGTGTTAGTATCTGGCTGATGTTGTCCCCAAGGAACTGAATTTGTTGGAATAAGGGAGGGGTAAATAAAGGTATTTAAGAGACAGATATAAACTGAATGTGTAACTTGGAGGAATGACCTTTAATAATAATCATTATTATCCCCTTGGATTTCCAATGGAACATGCGGTTTTTAACACCACATTATCATTTCTTCCTGTCCTCTGTGGCCATCTACACCAGTTAGCCCTAAGATTGCCCATAGGTCTTCATGTCCTCTACATGAAACGACCGCCTCCATCTCACCATCCGATATATGTCCAACTTTTCGTGATGTCACTCAACGGTTTCCATAGCGCCCATGTTCAATCCGTCTTCATCCATTTCTGCATATTTGTTGGGTAACAGGTCCTTAGTTACTTTATTCCCAGAGTTTCTTGTTGCTGATCCTTTCCGTTTGGTCATCTGTTCTTCAGAATGGAGCCAGAGAATGGGTCAGTTGTTGACAAAAATCCTTCACTAGCCTGTTCAAATGCCTTCCTGATCCAAGCTGGTTTCAACATCCTCATCCGCTCTGTCTCCTGTACCTGAGGCTATTGTAACGACAGAAGATCAGGGTCAGGCGACAGACTGTTTATTGAGAAAATCAAGAGGTTTTTATAAATTTTTGTGTGCATTGTTATTAGCGTTATTGTTAACGGAGAAGCAACCTCTTCTGATTGGTTGTTTTCTTGCTGAAGGTTAATTCTCTTATCACTTTGTGGTCGTTTCTCAGAAAATCAAGCCATATATCTGCGAATCATATTTCTACACTTTAACTCCACTGTGATTGGCTAATGATTTTCTCAGGGTTATGCTATGTTAATTTTTTTCTCATGACCCTGATTCAGGATGTGAACATTCACGTAAATTGTTGTCCACAATTTTGACTTGCAGTTTAACTTGGCCGCCTAATCTATTCAAATTCACAAAATCACCCAGCTGATCTAAAAGTTCCAGAAAAAATGGATAAATAATTTTAAAAAATTGAATATATTGGGGTTTAAATGTGCTGAAGACTTACTCAGTAGAATTTCCTTCTTCTCATCCGGATCTTCATTTGATTTAACGATTACCTCTGGGTTGACTGGACTGTTCTGTGTAGAATTAGAATTTTCGGAGATATCTAAATTTGTAGAAGTATTATCAGCTATCGATGGCGTTGTTGTCGTCTCTGAATAATTTTCATTCGTCAGTATCTTTGTTGTTATTTTTTTCTTGCCTTGATAATGACACTCTTCGATAGGTCCAAATTTAACCTTATATACAGTGAATAAACAACAATATAGATTGAGAAGACATTAATTATTAACAGAAATGGTTTGTTCTACTATAGGGCCAACTGTCATTCCTTATATTTATTTTGTCTGTTCTGTAGTGAGAGCTGTCTGCAAACCAAAAATTGTAGACAACAATTTCAGTCAATGTTCACGTACCGAACCGGCGTCATGAGAAAAAACAATAACAATGACAAAGTTTACCTTGAGGAACTCACCAACCAATCACAGCAGATTTAATGTGTGCGAATACGGTTCGCAGATATATAGCCTGACTTTCTAAGAAATGGCCACAAAGAGATAATAGAATAACCCTTAGCAAGAAAACAACCAGTCAGAAGACGTTGCTTCTCTGCGTCGGTGGCACAGTGGTTAGGACTCTCACCGACCATGCACATGGTCCGGGGTTCGATCCCCTGCCGACGCACACACAAAATTTGGGCTACCGATATCCATGCTTAAAAATTCCATACTTGTCCTGAAAATACGATGTGGCATCAAGCTGTAATCAAAATCAAAATCAAATCAAAACAATAACGCTAATAATAATGTGCATAAAAATGTATAAATATCTGTTGATTTTCTCAATAAACGACCTGTTGCCTGGCCGTTGTCTTCTGTCGTTACAGTTCTATGTAGAAGGTAAACTCACACCATTCTATCATCATTTTTCAAATGGCAAAAAGAAATTAACTTTCCCGAAGGAGACAAAAAGAATCTTTGTCTCTGATGCCTTTGATTTTTGGTTTAGCTACACACACACAAGTTAGAGAAAACAGGTGATGGTTAGATGGTATAATAGGCTGAGCATGATTGAGGTTAGGAGTCGAGTGCTAAGTAAAGAGAGGGAATCAGTCGACGAGGTTGTGAAGTTACACTGATTGAAATGGCAAGGACATGTATTACTCATGCATGCCTAGCCATCGCCTTCCTTGACAGTGGGCAATGTTAGCTGACGTAGGTTGGATCAGGTGGGAAAAGAGCTAGTGGTGGTCAAACCAAAACATGGCTACATGAGTCAATGAAGTCCAGAACAGTTAGTTTAAGTAAGCCAACCATGTAAGTAGGAGCCGTAGACTGGCTTCCTGACTAGTTGAGGTCCTCGGAATGGTAAAAACCAGTGACTGAAGACAGTTGGTGATATGGCTCAAAATCCTCGTTCTCAGTGACTGACGCAGATGTATCCACTCTTTGTGATTTATCATTCCCAATAAAATTTTATTGATCGTCCTCATATTTCCGTTTATTATCTCTCTGTCTTTTGAATCTCTCTTTACTCTCTTCTCTTGCTCTGTATGATACAAGGAGAGAGTCTGGAAAGTTGTACTGCTGCATATCTGTGCAAAATTCTACGCTGAAACCCCTCAGTTCAGTTAGTGATAGTTATTCATTTACTTGAAAATCTTCACTGCTTAGAGATGCTCAGATACTAGATTTGAACTCCATTTTGAATAACCTTCAAAATGAATGTCATCTACACCATGATTTCAAATTATATTGTAACATCATACTGAATTCAGTGATACTGAGGATATTATAATTTGGTGCACAGTAAATATTTACCTTGAGATACAGTGTATCCTCTTTGGAGTGTACACAGATGAACTGGATATATGTTGGTCAGTAGTATCCTTATTAATCGCAATAGATGCACACAAACTTGATGACAACCCACTAATTAATACTGATCTGATTTTACCTGTCGTGATTATGTCATTTTACTAGTTATCGTAAATATAAATTCTCACTACTTCATGTTTAACCTTGTATATGAGTTGTTTTCTATCTTCTTACGCTTACATGCATATGTAAATGTAATTTATTGACTTTTCAATACGTTATTATTCTTTCTTGAATGGCAGTTGCTTCTGTATTGCTACTTTTGTGTGATTGTATTGTAACGATAGAAGACAAGGGTCAGGAAAAAGATCGTTTATTGAGAAAATCAACAGATTTTTATGTATATTATTATCAGCGTTATGGTTAGCAGAGAAGCAACGTCGTCTGACTGCTTGTTTTCCTGTTGAAGGTTATTCTGTCATCTCTTTGTGACCATTTCTTAGAAAGTCACGCCATATATCTGCGAATCGTATTTGCACAAGTTAAGTCTGCTGTATCTACCAGTTTGACTGCAGCTGCGGAGCCAGCTACATTGGGAGTACAAATAGGCAGGTTCATCATCGTATTTCCGAACATCATCCAGGATGGTCAAGCAAGGGACAAACAAGATCTATTCGTAGTTCTATTTTAGCACACCTTATTGATACTGAGCATAAGGTTGATGTTAATACTGCATTTAAAATTATTTATCGCATTCCGACTAATCTTAATTTTGCTCTACGAGTTCTTCTTCTACAGACAGCTGAAGCAATCGGAATCCACCTTAAGAAGCCAAGCCTATGTGTTCAGAAGAAATTTGTACAGCCACTTTCCTTATCGTGGCCTTCTCTAGAAGAATGCATAAACAGGACTACGTCGCCCCCCTCCCAAATTATTTTATTTTTATTTGTTTCGACCACTTCATCTTTAATTACGTGTTATCCTTGTAAAAATTAATTTATTCTATCCATTTCTACCTTTCAAATGTGTATTGATTTTCCTCGTTAATTATCAACCCATTGACATTTTGACACTGTTTAATTATTGTTAACAAGCATATCTCCACTTAATTGGTAAACTGTTGTGTATTGAAATGCTATGTATATTAGAGTAGAGCCAGAGAAGAGGATCTAATTGAAAAGTAAATATTTCTTTGCTCAATCTTTCTGTTTTCTAAGTCTGCTGTGATTGGTTGGTGAGTTCCTCAAGGTAAAGCTTTGTTATTGTTTTTTCTCATGACGCCGGTTTGGTACGTGAACACTGACGTAAATTGTTGTCTACAATTTTTGATTTGCAGACAGTTTTCACCACAGTATTACTTTCTTTACATTTCAGAAAAAGATAGGGTTTATTTAAAATCGCTTTGTGTTTTAGCTACCGCAAAGCCTAGACTCTGTGCTGTAGGCAAATTTAACCCTACAATTGTGTTTACGTCTATATTCCTGAGCGTAAGATCAATTCAATTCCCATCCTTGAATCAAGTCAACCTGTCCCGGATCAGCCTAGTGTTGTTGCAACCCAATTATCCATGCCTGACGCGTCTATCCCCCTTGTTTAATGAACTGTGTGTGTTTTACATCGATCCGTTTAGTCAGACTGTTGAACTCATGACCCAATCAGAGTATTTTGTGAACTGTTATTTTTGCTGACCCATGTCTTACCTTGTACTATTCTGTCGAGTTTATCTCATTTATTGATCTTCATCTGCATCAGCATACCTGGTTAAGTAGCCAATTAAATTCTATCTTTGTGCCTATGCTCTGTCTATTTCTTAACTGCTCTCTGTTCTATGCCCTGCCTTACTTGGGTTCATTCTTCTACTGACTGCTTACCTGAATGTTAGTGTCTGATTCCGGCTAGTCCGCAATTTTCGCTTTAACGTTATTCCGCTCTGATAGCGGTACCTTGCTTTCTGTTAAGCGTTGCGTTTTGTACTCTTGAAACCGTTAATGTTTGTGGTATATATAATTATTGATTTGTTTATTAATAGTAACGTAGAAACAGTGCCCGGCTTCTTGTTTGTTCTGTACCGGGATAGCCTTTATCTACGCGTGACTTAATTTCAAGTGATATTTCGCTTATATTGAGAAAGGCGATTCATTTGGAGAATATTAATTTTTTTAACTGAATGCACCATACTGTTTGACATTGTGTATAAATGTGCTCAGATGTAGGTAACCAGTGTGACTGTGAAATCAGTAATTTTCTCTTCACCTAACTCAATAAAGCTGAGAACATAATTTCATTTAATTGGCAGTAGCATCACTGGTTTAGCAGTAGTATGCTAACCAAGCACGCCTCATGTGGTCTGGGGTTCAATTCTTGGCCGGTGCACACCTTTATCCCCCTCCCTACTAGTTGGTTGTAAGCCCGGTTTTAACAGGGAAGGTCAGTCGTGGGACTAGCAACCTCAGCCTGTAAAAGATTAGCCGGACTGCTACTGGGGCTTCACTGGGAATGCTAAGGAATAAAATTATAATAATAATTGAAATAAGACAGTGGCTAGCAGTGGAATCCACGACTGTCGTTTAATCCCTTCTGGGATTCCTCAATCAGATGTGTCTGTAATACTATGGTGTTATTAATGAGACTGAACAGAGCTTCGAATGGAAGTCAGCTCTCTATTTCAACTTCATCGATTTTAAAAAAGCCTTCGAAAGCGCAGCGTCGATCGAGAGGTGATTTGGCAACTACTTCGCTACCACAGGGGTGCCGCCAAAAATTATACATCTCATCCAACATTTGTACGATAATGCTCCATGCCAGGTAATCCGCAACGGGAAACTCACGGAGTCCTTCGAAGAAGTGAAGACGGGAGTAAGACAAGGCTGCCTAATATCTCGAATGATTTTCGCATCTCAGCTCTCTGAGCTAAGATCATGTTTAGTATATCGAATGATTTTCCTGATTGCAGTAGACCGGATAATGCGACAGACAGTGATGAGCAGCGAGGAAACAGGCATAAATTGGACTCACACAAAGAACTTGGAGGATCTGGACTTCGCCGATGATATATGTCTGATTTCCCACAAGCTGGAAGATATGCAAGCGAGAAGCAACAAGTTGGCAGAAGAAGCATCCAGGGTAGGTAGGACTTCAGGTGAACATAGAGAAAACAGAGGTGATGAAGATTCCTGGCTAACAGCAACAGCAACAGTGGCAGTAACAGACAACAATCAGCCAAAATGAATTGGAGAAATCTGAAGGAAGCAACCTCCTTCACCTACCTACCTACCTACCTACCTACCTACCTACCTACCTACCTACCTACCTACCTACCTACCTACCTACCTACCTACCTACCTACCTACCTACCTACCTACCTACCTACCTACCTACCTACCTACCTACCTACCTACCTACCTACCTACCTACCTACCTACCTACCTACCTACCTACCTACCTACCTACCTACCTACCTACCTACCTACCTACCTACCTACCTACCTACCTACCTACCTACCTACCTACCTACCTACCTACCTACCTACCTACCTACCTACCTACCTAACTACCTACCTACCTACCTAACTACCTACCTACCTACCTACCCACCTACCTACCTACCTGGGAAGCATCGTTTCAACTACATGCGGAAATGACGAGGATATCAAACCGATGATCATCGGCAAGCAATGCAAGCTCCCATTACTCTCAAGTTTGTGAGGTGATCAGTAGCACTCAGCATGCAAAATAAGATCCGGATTTTCAACTCCAATGTGAAGTCAGTGCTACTCACTTACTGCCACGCCAAGAAGGGCACTTCGAACAAACTACAGACTTCCATCAACAGCTGTCTTTGCTCAATACTTCGCTCAAGACCAGGTAGCCGGCCAGAAAAGACCAGCAATGGTGAGGGATCTCTGTGAACGAACCAACTCAACAGGAACCAACTGTGCAACAAATATGCAGGAAGAAATGGAGGTGGATTGGCTGGCCATACCCTGGGAAAACAAACCATAATCAAGTGAGTGACATCACCGGTAATGCAGGCCATCACTCGAGTGAAATCCAAATGGGAAGCGGCGAGTTGGTCATCAGAGCGAAGGTGGGGTGACCTGGAAGAGGATATGTGAAGAGGAGATAAAAGCCTTTGGGCAGACGTGGAACCGAGTGAAAACGTCGGCAGAGAACTGAATGCAACAGACGTGCGGCTGAGTCTCTATGTCCCTCTAGGAATTAGCGGAAACAATAATAATAATAATAGTTGCTTAGACTCGAGCCCAGCATCCAACACTAGGCCACTGGATAACGAGAGCCGCTTCTTATGCAATGGATATCGGCCCTTATTTGTTCCGATTTTTTCAACATATCAGTACCCAGTGGAAAAAATAACATCATTCACTAATGGTGCAAGCCTACCAAGTTGAAGAGTCTCAAATCGGACGAAACGCTCGATCATTAGAGCTAAATATCACCATGTTATTCTTCAGACTTTGCCAGAATGTCTGTACCAAGCAAAAGCTGAGACGTCAATATAGAGACCAGTCATTTTGGTCCAATACATATCAATCAGTGGGGAATACAAAATAACTCACAAAAGTTATTAGCACCTTTACGGAAGAACAAAAGGGTTTATTGCTCTTCCTTCATCTATAACCAATGTATACCTAACAATCATTACAACCAGTGTATCGCTTAGTTCAGTGATGATATCATAGATCTGGTCGATCAGTTTTACTAGACTCAACTGGAGTGAAACAGAATCATATTTTGCAATTCTTGAGTTAATCTGTCCATACTGGACAGTAGATCATTAATACCTCAGTAGTATGTGGCAGAGGTGAGTTTCTAGGGTTTTGGACACTTTGCAAGTGATTTTCCAGGGAGTTTCACCGACTGACTTCTCTATCATTTCACCTACTGGATATTTTAATTAGTCTGCAGACCACAAAACCTGTGACTCTGATTTCCTATCAGCTGCAAATTCATGTGAGTAAACTCGTTTATCGATTAAAATAAATGACAATATTCACAACGCCAAAAATAAACTGTTAGTTACCGTTTTATGTGATGTGACTTGTTTGCTTCCTGTATCGTCTTTTTTATCATTATTTACAGGCGATCTGATTGAATCGTCTTCGTTTTTCTGTTCAAAACTCTTCCTATACGAATGAATGAATGAATATAAAGCTATAATGAGCAATAAATAATTATCTGATTAAAATGAAATAATAAAACAGATGACAACTGTTCACTGAATGTGGCTCATAGTGAAGTCAGTTAATACCAAAAATATAAACCATGAGAAGGATATTTAATCAGACTGAAGTGCATAGTGAGCGAAATCTAGCGAAAATGTTTCTTTCAACTGTTGTGTTAACTTGTAG